TTGATAAAAGTTTGTTTGTTTTTATTTATTTCACTCTATAATTTTTCAAGGCGAAATAAAGATTATCAAAATTGAAATAAAATGTAAAATTTAATCGTTGGCGACATTAAATGGCCGTACTTGATTTGATTGTTTTGCAACGTGCTGTTTGGCGCTACAGTTGTGACGTCACGTAAACAATACTTTAAACGGTCTGTCAAAGCGTTAACGACTGAATAAAAGATATTGGTGTTCGGATTCATTTTCTTAGAAGACCATTTCATTTCATTCTAGATAGTTTCACAACAAAGATTCGACAAAAACCAATGTTTTTATTAATCAGATTTTTTAAACAAAATGGTCGCCCCAACTGTGAAAATACGCAGGGAGATAATAAGAAACGGCGAGTGCATTGTTGTAGAATAATGCACGCTTCGGGCCTTCTTTGTTTATATAGAAAAAATCCAATAGTGTTAGAATAAGTTATTTTAGTTGATAAATTCATTTGTAAAATAATTCAAATTTCAAAATGAACATACTTTAAAAGTTTGGAAAATAAGTGATCGTCAATGTTTGGCATATACAAGGGAATTTGCGAAATTTGAATATGTATAATACAGGTAAACTGCAAAGAACATGAAGATAAAACGCTCTACAGCTTGCGTGTTATGATAGGAAAAAGATGGATGTAGTTAGGTTCGTTATTGGAAAAATAAAGCTGATGTTAACAGTACGGATAATGAAGGCGACACTGCTCTGCATTATGTTCTTTTGGTAAAATATGTTAATTTTACTTTTGCTTCTTTTGGGTAATATGCGACTTTTTTTTTCTTTGTTCGAAAATATGTCGATCATCTTTTTGGCTTGTTTGATTTTTCCTCAATTTGGGCAATATATGTGACGTTTACTGGAAAATATGTGACGTTTTACGTTTGCTTCTTTTGAATTAAATATGTTAATTTTTACTTTGATCCGTGTGGACAAAATGTTTTTACTTTCCTTTTTGTGATATATGTGATATGCTACTTAATTACTTTTGCTTTCTTTGGCTATAATATGTTTATTTTGGTTTTGCACACCCCTCCCTTGGTAAAACAATTCTCTTCTTTATTTTATTTGTGAAATGTGTTATTTTTACTTTTGCTTCTTCTAGGTAAAATATGTTGAATTTTACTTTTGCTTCTTTTGGTAAAATATGGCGACATTTTTAGCACTCACAATACCAGTAAAAAAATTTTAACTTTGTAGTTTTTTTATTGAGAAAAAGTCTCTAATTTTAATCGAACATTTTATTGCTTTTGAAATAAAGAAAACTTTACCAAAAGTTTTTTTAAAGCGCCAGATTATCTAATATTCCATTTTTGGAAATTTGTAACATTTTATAGAACCAAATCAAATCAAGTTTTCCTTGTTTTGCTGGAAAAGCATTACTTAGCTGCATTTTACTGAAAATCGCTCATCTTACTGCTATAAAGCATCAGACAAGGGCCATGAAGGGTTTATATTTCACAATATTAAATAAAACATTTAATACTCGGGTGTACCGTTATAATTACGGAAATATCTTGTTTTAAGGCATTTATTTGTTATCCTATGACAGGCAAGAGGAGGGGCCATGACTCTGTTATTACAGAGGGGGAGCCAAACTAGATATACAGAATAAAAAGGGGCAGACAAGTCTTCATATCGCGATAGGAAAGGGTAATGTCCCTTGTACCAAACTGCTCATCAAAAGTGGGCGCTTCCGTCAATTTGAAGGTAAAATGAAAAGTTATGTTCCGTGACAAAAAAAAATAAGGCGAATCTTACAATTTCAAAAGATATATCAATTCTGTATTTGAACTAGTTTGTGTGCTTCTTTTATGTACTCATTAAATAAATAATAATTATCAAGTTCTATGTTAACTTGTTAAAGAAATAAGGTTTCGTGGAAATTATATATTTTGTAGCGTATTTTGTTTTTGAATTTAATTAAAATGGAATAAACTTGATTAATTGTTTTGTTGTATAACATAAGTAATTACAAATCATGTAATTTCAGGATGAAAGATGGTGATAGTCCGATGCACGACTGCATAATACAGAAAGGAAAACAGAATTATCTAGTAGAAACCATCTTTAAGTCCCAAAAACCGGACTTTACCGTTAGTAACGGAAAGGTTTTAACGTGCTACAATGGCAGCTCTCATAAGATTGTAGAAGGTATATGTACCTCTTTAATGTTAAGACCTTATTGAGTTTTAGAAATTACAATAATTGAGACATTGATGTATTTGCAAATTGTGCAATCATTTAGAAATTTTCAGTAATTATTTAAGGCTTCACGCAGCTTTAATGGTGCCATTTTGGACTTTATACATGTATAAATTGCTGGTATATTTTCTACGCTAAGAAAATGTTCAGTAATCATGGAGTAGGATAGTCCTGTCAGTACAGTCTCTGTCGTATTCCGAGGGTCCCGGGTTTGAGCCCTGTCGGAAGACGTACGCTATGTGTAGGCGGGACAACAACGACGTATTGACGGGGGGAATCAAGATGACGTCAACCGTTTATAACCAACGTCACTACCGCTTTACTGTATATATTGTTGCCTATGAAATAACAGTGCCAACATCGCATATCACTCCGAGAACACTTCCGGTAACACGACCAACAGTACTTCCGATGGACATGTAAGTGACATTTCTATACATAACGGACAGTATTCTCAATTTCACAAAACTTCCAAAACTTACGCTACCTAATATTTACTGGCAACATTTTAGAATGGCAGACATTTGGGATTCGTTTGAGTCAAGTGTACACAATAACGTATCTTTATCTGACGTACAGAAGTTCACATATCTGAGATCTTAACTCCACGACGATGCAGCTAGGGTGATTCAGGGATTTCCGTTGACGCATTCAAATTATACACAAGCAGTTGCGTTACTGAGAGAACGTTTCGGACAGGAACACAAGATTATAAACGCTTACATGCAGTGTTTATTAGATTTACCCCGTCCTTACTCTGACATTAATAGTTTACGAAATTTTCAAGTGCAGTGTTTATTAGATTTACCCCGTCCTTACTCTGACATTAATAGTTTACGAAATTTTCAAGAGAAAATGGAGTCATATATTAGAGGATTGCAGTCACTTGGTCAAGGTCAAGACTCTTACGGTAATTTACTTGTCCCTGTGGTATTAGAGAAACTTCCTGCTGAAATTTAACGCAACATGACTCGTGACCATGGAAACAGTAACTGGCAACTTCCGGAACTACGACAAGCATTGAAAAAGGAGATCGCTATTCTGGAGTCAGGTCAATCTTTACATACAGGTGAAGTTCATAACGCTACCGCTTCTTTCCTTACGGGGACACGATTTTCATCCGAATGTGGCACGCAAACAGCAAACGACAAATGAAAAGAGAGCGGAACGTCCGAGATGTCCTTTTTGCGGTGACCATCACTTAGCAAAATGACTGTAGGAAGGTAACAAATACTGTTGAACGTAAGAAAATTGTTAAAGAGAAAAAGTTATGTTTTAATTGTCTAGGACGCCACCAAGTAGCTACATGTAAATCGAACCATCGATGCCGTTTTTGTCAGCGAAAACACCACACTAGCATCTGTGACAGTAATCCCCAGCCATTAACCCCACATAGTAATTTGAATGCTACAACCCCAAGTTACACTCCAGGTTTGAGAGATCAAACTACTTCCGGTTCCAAAATCATTTCCGGTTCCAGTGATCAGTCCGCAATACTACATTCTACTACACATTCTAGACCTAAAGTTTTGTTGAAAACCGCTGTTGCGAAAGTATCATCTGGAGTTGCATCTGGTAACTTTTGTACAGATGTTAACATTTTATTTGACGAAGGGGCACAGAGGTCATTTGTAACAAAGGAACTTTCAGAAAGACTTGAACTCAGAAGAACGGGAACAGAAGTCGTAGAGCTTGCAGCATTTGGTTCATCTTCAAAGAAAGTAAGTCATATTGATACCGCAACAGTATATTTATTAACTGATACCAAAGAAAAGATAGCTATAGATGTCCTGATTGTCCCAACTATTTCCGTCCCCTTAAGAAACGTACATCAAGCCACAACAGCACTTCCGTATCTTCGTGGGCTTTAAACTTGCGCATCCGGTTACAGATGATGACACTTTCAATATATCACTTCTGATTGGTGCAGATAAGTACTGGGATATTGTCAGTAATAGAGTGATCCGTGGGTAATGGTCCCACAGCTGTCCAGTCCAAGATAGGATACTTGCTTTCCGGTCCTCTTCCGGTTTCTTCTACTGATACCGCTACAGACTGCATATTAAATGTATTAATATCTAAGCCAGATACACATGACCTAGAACGTTTCTGGAAGTTAGAGTCTCTAGGTATTCAGCCTGAAAAAGAAGATGAAACTACCTCCGACTACCTGGCAACATATCAGAAAAATGCATTGAATTCAAAGACGGACGTTATTCAGCACAGTTACCATGGAAACGTGATCATCCCGGTGTTACCTGACAATTATAAGATTGTTCTTAAAAGAACGGAAAATACAATCCGACGCCTACGACAAGATACGAACATGTTACAGAAGTATGGCCAAATTATTTCAGAACAAGAAAATCGAGGCTTTATCGAGAGAGTTACAGACGACAATATAGATAAAAGAGTTCACTACATCCCACATCACGGTGTGAAAAAAGATTCAGCCACCACCCCAATCCGAATAGTATATGACTGTAGTTGCCGCCAAATAAAGATCCCCTAGTCTGAACGATTGTTTAGAATCAACACCCCGGAATTAAATGACTTAACCAATATACTTATGAGATTTCGCTTACACAGATTTGCTGTCTCGACAGACATTGAGAAGGCATTCCTGCACGTGCAACTTGACGAAAGAGATCGTGACGTCACCCGGTTCCTGTGTTAAGTGACAGTACCAATCCAGATAGTAATTTGGTAACTTACAGGTTCAAATCTATACTCTTTGGAGCTACATGTTCACCGTTTATCCTACAAGCTACACTTATGAAGCACCTTGATAACAACAACAACAAATGGGTGAGTGAAATACTGAAAAAAGATTTATATGTAGACAACGTTATCTCTAGTTTTCTGGATGAAAGCACGGTTATTAAATATTATCACGATACAAGAGACCTGATGTCATCTGCTGGCTTAAATCTGCGTTCCTGGAATTCAAACAGCTGTCATTTGCGCGCGCTTTCCAAAGCAGACGACATACATGATTCAGACGAAATTACGAAGATTCTGGGCATGAGATGGGATGCTATTAATGACCAGATATTTTTGAACCAGAGATCTATAATAGACTCAATCCGATGACAAAACGTACCATACTCCAAAGAAACGGCGAAATTGTATGATCCTCTTGGATTCTTCAGCCCATTAACGATAAGAGCTAAGCTCCTACTACAAGTCATATGGAAAGAAAATTACGAATGGGATGCACCACTTCCCGGAAGCCATACAGACACAGTGGCAGAATATAGCAGAAGATATCAATTGTACAATTACGAACAAATTTTCAAAGATACTACTTTGATAAAGCAGACATAAAAATCACTTCCGGTAATGTAGGGAACCAGACAGAACTAGCAGATTATACAACTTCCCTTCATGTATTTTGCGATGCAAGTCTACAAGCCTATGGATCAGTGGCATACATCGTCAAAGGCAAACAGTCTACATTGGTCATGTCGAAAACTCGTGTTTCACCACTTAAGCAATTGACACTACCGAAACTCGAACTTATGGCTGCGGTTATTGGAGCCCAACTTACAAAACACGTGTTAAAGTCTATACCAGTACATTCAGTCTACCTATGGTCTGACAGCCAAATAGTTCTTCATTGGTTAGCGACTAATCGGAAGTTGAAGACATTTATACAAAACAGGGTCATGGAGATTCACGAAATTACAGAGAACCGGAAGTGGAGGTATTGTCCAACAGACCAGAATGCAGTCGATCTATTAACAAGAGGTTTGTCAGCCAAGGAATACCAGAAAAGCAGATTATGGAATAATGGCCCAAAATGGCTTCCTGACATTAATAGTTGGCCTAGCTGGCAAGCAAATGACAATGCCATTTTTTGTTCACAACAACCGAAAATGAAGAAGATGATTTAAACCATGAAAGGTGTTCGAACCTTACAACAGCCCTCTCAAGGAATTCACCAACTCATTGATGTTGTGAAATTCAGTCGCTATAAGAAGCTACTCAGAGTAACTGCCTATGTGAAAACGTTTTATCCATAATTGTCGCACAAGAAACAGAGCCAGAAGAATGTCAAGACTCGAACCTTTAACCGTTTAAGAGTTACAAGAGGCTGAACAAATGTGGCTACATAGCACCCAGCTCTTGAATTATCAGGCTGATATCAATAATCTGAAATCAAATGGTAAACGACTTAGTCTAGTGAAACATTTAGGACTTTTCCTTTATGAAGATGGATTTCTACGGTGTGGCGGGAGAATCCACAATGCACCAGTAACAGAATTCACCAGATTTCCATACTTACTTCCCGCAAAACATCCTTTCACAAGGTTACTAGTTTTAGACGCACATGAGAACCAACTTCACGCAGGCGCAAGTGCATTGATCACACATTTACGACAGAGATACTGGATACCATCTATCTGTCAGTATATACAAAGCCTTCTCCGGAAATGCGTTCAATGTCGAATGGTAACTGGCAAACCATATACAGCACCAGATCCACCACCCCTACCAAAAATTAGAGTACAAGATACATCTCCATTTACAGTCACCGGGATTGATTTCTCGGGAGCACTGTATGTACGAAGCAATTCTAGAATTGAGCATAAGGCTTATATTTGTCTATTTACGTGCGCTTCAACAAGAGCTGTCCATCTCGAGCTGGTACCAGATTTATCAGAAGAAACTTTCATCCAAGCGTTAAGAAGATTTACAAGTCGAAAATCCCTACCCCATATAATGATATCAGACAACGCAACAACATTCAATGCAGCAGCAAATACCATTCAACAACTCATGAGATCAACGGCAGTTAATGACGCTCTACACAGCCATGGTACTGAATGGAGATTCATACCTAAGCGAGCACCATGGTTTGGCGGTTGGTGAGAGCGACTTATTGGACTAACAAAAACCACCATCAAGAAAGTTTTAGGTCGTTCATTTATTAGTTACGAGAGCCTCCAGACAATAGTAACAGAGATTGAGGGTATAATGAACGACAGACCGCTTACTTACGTCACTTCCGATATAGGAGACCCGGACCCATTAACACCGGCGCACCTGCTTTATGGACGTCGTATTACATCCCTTCCATATGATGGCAATACACCAGAACCACAGAATGTTACAATGTCTGACGTAACAAAGGGCAAGAATGCAGGCACAACTTATCAGTCATTATCGTTTACGATGGCGTCACGAATATCTTACGTCACTGCGTCAGTACCACAAAACAACAGGAAACAACACTCAGACAGTTCAGGTTGGCGACGTTGTACAGATTTATGATGAATCACAAAGAACGCAGTGGAAACTAGGCGTAATCCAGCAATTAATTTACGGTAATGATGGCCTCACACGAGCAGCAATTTTACGCACGAGTAATGGACTTGTCACTTCGAGACCTATTGTGAAACTGTACCCATTAGAAATCATTTCTACATAGTAATCATTTCGTGGCCGGGAGAATGTCGGGAAGACGTACGCTATGTGTAGGCGGGAACAACAACGACGTATTGACGGCGGGAATCAAGATGACGTCAACGTTTATACCAACGTCACTACCGCTTTACTTGTATATATTGTTGAGATATTAAAAAGATAGAAACAAGACACAACGCGAAGCTTATATCTATACCCCACAAGCCCCTGTCAGATTGCACATTTTCTCATCATGTGACTAAATGTTTTCAGGCGGTAAGTCATACTGATCGGGATTATCCAGAAGTGTCTTTCCTCATATCTTGATTGTAACATTTACAGTAAGTTTTTGTGCATATTTCCATTATACATTCTAGGTCACGTTTTAGGTCAACGGCCTCTTTAAGAGCTGGAAATATGGCCTCCTGTGTTGACAGCCAACCATGATTATTATCTTGTCACTATTTGTTATTTGTTTTATGTTATTGTATACTTTTATATGACATGACAATTTAACATAATTTTCACTATAAATGTTTTATATGTCTATATATATACCAGGGCTGCTGAAATAATCATATCAAACAAGTCATCTATTATTGACCTAAAGATGCCAGAGGGTTTTACCGCTTTGCACATTTGTGCTGCAAACGATCACGTAGAAATAGCCAGCGGGCTCTTGAAGGTAGATATAAATAAATTAAATAAATGTTTTACACTTTTTGAGTGATAAACTGTCAGTGCAACTTAAAATATGAGATGTAATAATCACCACAATACGTGTGCTCTTTTGATGAAAAGGGAAATTTACGTCGTTGCAAATTACTTATTAAATCTCATGACAACCAATAATTCCTCTACATTAATCTGATTCTAAACATTGGGGATAATTTGTCCCCGTCGGTCACTTTATATTTCACCATGGAAAACTTGCACACCTTATATTACACCATGGAAAACTTACCCACTGTATATTACACCATGGAAAACTTGCCCACTTTATATTACATCATGGAAAACTTGCCCACATTATATTACACCATGGAAAACTTGCCCAATTTATATTACACCATGGAAAACTTGCCCACTTTATATTACACCATGGAAAACTTGCCCACTTTATATTACACCATGGAAAAGTTGCCCACATTGATGACTTTATCTATCTATTATCCTAGTAAACATGATGGATAGTTTGCTTACATCGGTCACAGATTTTTTTGTCTAACTAGTTCTTGCTAATCATAAACATGTTGAATAAGTTCCACGCATTGGCCACTGTAATTTACATGTACTCATATCTTCCACATTGTGGATAATTTGCATACATATGTTTACTGTATCTTACACTAATCGTATTAGCTACACACATCGGACTCTGTTGATAAACATAAATAAACTAAATTAAGAAGGAACATTAAAATACTTTTTTTATTGTTTTACACCAAAACTCAGTTTTTTATACTGGCTATCATTGAGCAAAGTTTTATATTATGGAAGATTGTTAATAAAATGTCCATTTTATTTAAAGGCAGATGCAAATAAGGACTCTACAGACGGGAACGGTAGAACACCACTAATTGTTGCTGTCAGTCAAAGTCATAAACGTATTGTGGAGTTATTGCTGACATATGGTAAGACTACAGCCACGACATACATGAAGATTATCTTCCTAAAAATATTGATAATCGTGAATATTGTATCACTGTATAATACAATTGTGACAGTCCAAGCCGGGATGGCGGCCCATTCTTGTGTCGACAAGCTTCTTGATGCTTCTATGTTGCACCTTGTGAGCTGATATCTACAGCTCATATCTTAGGTTGGGTGATCGAGCGGGCCACTCAAAGCGGTTGATACCTTTCTATGTACGTAGTTCTGGCTCTGAAGGACGCACATTATCGTCCATTGAAATGAACTGATCGCCCACTACCCCGGCTTACAACCTGACCTGGGTGTCTAACATCTCACCGATGTACCGCTGACCAGTCAATGTACCTCTGTTTAGTACAACCGTAGCAGATGGGTGTACTTTGGTAACATTCGTGTGGTGTTTATCAAGTACCACATCAACCTCACGGTGTGTGTCCCCACCCAATTGCTCCTCAGTCATTACAACCCTCCATATATCTGCTTCACTCAAATGCCGTGACCAATGTAATAAAGTCTGACCTTTGAGTGACAATAGATTTGTAATATCGTTGTATCAGAACAACAATATGTCTCTGCTACTACTAAAAGAAGCAGAAAAACGAGGGGTGCATGCTTTCTATGACCAGATGGCGAGTCCTACCCAATAAAACATAACTATTGCATTTGGTTTTGGACCATCACGAAATATTGCTGAATCAAACTAAATAAATGAATCCTAAACTTTTCATAATATATTAAGAAACTTTATCTGGTACTTAGCAATTGTTGAGTAGTACATATGGATATATAATTTAGTAGTTCTTTAACGAAGTTGCCAATCATTGTGTATGTTCCTATTAACAGGCTGTAACGTAAATGCCCAAGACAATGATGGTAATACAGCTTTACACGTGGCACAGATTAGTCGAGCACTACCAGATACGGTAAGTTGTAATTGTACATGTGCTACATTTTAGGATGCACACTAACAGATATGAGAAGTGATATACGTGCCATGTATTAGTTAAGATCTATCAGACGTGGTACACGGCCGTCATTTTAGCTTCATTACTAAATAAAGTAATAAGTCTTACACATACTGAACGAGAAATACGGCAAGTGATCGATGCACTATCATATACGGTAGACGTGTCCCATATTAGCTGTGCATTACCATATACGGTAAGTGGTACACATTCTATATTTTATAGGTGTGTTATACACATGCTATGGTTTATAGTTACATTCAGATATGATTAGTGGTCCATTTGACACAAATTAGCGATGTATTACAAGATACAGTTAATAGTGCACGTACCACATATTAGCGATGCACTATAAGATATGTCGTGAGCAGTACTGGTACCACATATTATCGATACACTATAAGGTACAGTAATCAGTACACGTACCACATATTAGCGATACACTATAAGGTAAGTGAGCAGAACTGGTACCACATAATAGCGATTCACTATTAGATACAGTAAATAGTGCACGTGCCACATATTAGCGATACACCTCAAAATCCACGTACCACATATTAGCGATACACTATAAGGTTCAGTGATCAATACACGTACCACATATTAGCGATACACTATAAGGTAAGTGAGCAGTACTGGTACCACATATTAGCGATGTATTACAGGATACAGTATACGGTACACGTATTTCATATTAGCAGTACATTATCGTATATAGTAAGTGGTTTATTTGCCGAATTTTAATTAGCCCTTTCACTATCAGATACGGTAAGTGGTAAACGTGTCACATAAAGTACTATATCGGGTATTGTAATTGTCACCCGTGACTACACGTGAAGCATTTTAGCCGTGCATTACAAAATGTCACTCTTAATTACCAGATATAAAATAGATTTTATGCCCACATAAAATAATTTATGTCATTGTTCTGTCCCTATACTCATTACTGTACAGAATATTACGGGTCAGGTTTTTAGCCGTTACGGGTCAGGTTTTAGCCAAGTACGGCTTAGCCAATCGATATCAAGACTTAAATCATGTGATGTTAATTAACCAATGATTACATTAGATCTATCACAAAGAAATAATTTTGGCGAGGAATGATTCTCGCCTTTCTGTTTACTAAAATTTATCTATTTTTGAAGTCATAAGCTTTATTTAAAGTGAACTAATTACGTATTACTATGAACAGTTATCTTATTAATCTGCTGGGAGCGAATTTTAGGGACGGTGTCCCCCGTTTCATATTCAATTTCGTGACGAAAATGGCAATTCATTTCACGGCAACACGGGCAGGATATCGGACTCGGGAATTTAGACAGAACGATTGTAATCTACGATATGGATTTAATTTTCACAGACATATTTTTGTAGAAATGCAACTTTTTTGGGAGCTTTGAAAGTTTGAGACATCATCAGTCGGGAAACAGTTGTGCCGGCCTTTGGACACTGTTGGAACTAATGACATTTACAAATCAGAATTTATCCACAAAACGTTGCTCGTCATATTACAGATTTCGTAGATACCATACTATTTACGAGTCCTGAAAGTTACCATTGTTCAACAGTTCAAGTTTTGTACAGATGCCAAAACAAACATAAACGATCATACTTATGGCGAATAAATGGTTCATGGTTGACATGTCTAAACAACATTTACCTGTTTACACCAGATGGATGCCACCTGTTTACTCTGATCAGCTACGTCTCCTCAATGAGATAAGAACAGCAGCTTGGTCGCCGCCCCGAAGCATTTCATTTGTCAGACAATTTCAAAAGATAAGTATTTTGTTTACTATGTCTTTAAGTTATATTGTACTAAAGTCAGTATTTTACTGCATTGTCTGCCTGCCCTGTTATACAAACTATGAACAGATGAAGTCTAGGTTTGTTGCTTTGTCTTAACAAATTAATATAATACGCTTTGATTATGACTCGAAGTAGATCTACTTAATGAATTTATCAGTGAGTAAATTTCTTTATATTTATAATATATAAGGTTATTCATTGCCGGGTTTGTTGTTGGTCATCAATTATTCTCCTAATGATAATGTACAAGAATGCAGTATTAATCAGACATAATTTTTCCTGGACACATAATTGAAATTCTATATTAGTCATGTTAGTTATCACTTATTTCCAATTCATTTACAGTTCACACAAACTTCTAATTAGAGTAGATAATAGTACATGTTGATTTTCTGCTAGTCTACTATACATTTGTACACACATCATCATAGCAGTATTATTTAGCAACATGTTAAGTAACAGTCCAGATTGGAGCGATTTAGCCTTATTTCTTTTTAATTTTACATTTTTTTTTTTGTTGACTCCAACTAAATACAGTAAGTGTGATTTAGTTTATAATTTCCATACATTCATGTTTCACTGTTTTTTTTTTTTTCAGTCATTGAATTTAAGATTCAAAATTACTGTTCTGAATTCTAATTTTGAATTTATTCTACTATACACATAATCAAATTTTCTTTAAATTTACACTGACCTGAACTAATTTTCACTGGCCTAGGACCAGTGTTAAATTCTATGACTGGTTTTACAACAGTTTAAACACGATTACAACACAAGGTTAGTTTACAGTCCGTGTTAGTTGCATTTATACATATTCTAGTATACATGGCTTAATATATAGTTTTATGTCTGCGGGACTTAGTTAACATTTAGTACACATTTTCAACACAATATAGTTGACGATCCATGTGAGTGTGATTTTGTTTATAATTATACGCATCGTATGATAAATGACTTGGTTTATAATCCATGTCTGCTTGATAAAGTTTACAGTTCACACATAGTTTTATAATACATGTACATGTAAGTGTGATTTTGTTTACAATTCGCACACATCCCATGATACATGGCTCCGGTTATAGACCATGTCTTAGTGATTTAGTTTACCGATGATACACATGGTTTAGTTTACACGCATATTTTCTACACATGGTTTAGTTTACACTCCTGGTGAGTGTGATTGAGTTAAGAGTTCTCGCATATCCAATTATACATTGCTTAAGTTTATAGACAATGTCTGCGTGTTTTAGTTTACAGTTCACGCCTAATTTCTACACATGGTTAGTTTACAGTCCATGTGAGTGTGATTTAGTTTACAGTTCACACTTATCATATTATACATGGCTTAGTTTAAAGTCCATGTCTGCGTGATTTAGTTTACAGTTCACGCCTATTTACACATGGTTTAGTTTACAGTCCATGTGAGTGTGCTTTAGTTTACAGTTCACACATATCCTATTGTACATGGTTTAGTTTAAAGCCCATGTCTGCGTGATTTAATTTACAGTTCACACTTATTTATTCACACATGGTTTAGTTTTCAGTCAGTGCGAGTGTGATTTAGTTTATAGTTCACTCATAATTATCCTATCAGAATTAATTTAATAATCAATTACATTTCATACATTTAGTCTACCTTAATGACAAAATAATTCATATTTTTCAGATGAAACGGCCACAAATTCTCCTTACACCTGTTATTCAGGTCCACAACAAGGAAAAGCCAAATACCAAGAATGTCCAGTAAATCCTGCAAAAACCAAGACTAGTCGAGGGAGCAATCATTATCGTTGAATTAATAGTGCAAGCGGACCTGGGACCTAAGACAATGCTTTCATCAGTACATTAGCAGCCTTTCATTACATGTTTCATAGTTTTCAAGGTTGAGTCAGATAATGAATAAACTGATGTTGGCATACATGTTTTACACAGCTTCAAGGAAATTCATATTTATTGCCCAAGACAGTTGAAATAACATAAGAAGTAATGGTATTCAGATTGCTGAGCTAATAATTACACCTTTTATAAACCAGAAATAGATTCTGTACTTGTCTTGTCATCTTGGTTTAGTTACACGCCTTGCTATTCTTTCAACATACCATTATTGTACTATGCATTGCTTAGTTTACACGCTTTGCCATTTGTTTGTCTGTACTTGTCAGCTTGGATTAGTTTCCACGCCTTGTTATTATTTCAGCATATCATTGCTGTATTAGGCATTGCTTAGTTGACACGCTTTGCCATTTGTTTGTCTGTACTGGTCAGCTTGGCTTAGTTTACACGCCTTGCTATTATTTCAGCATACCATTGCTGTATTAGGCATTGCTTAGTTTACACGCTTTGCCATTTGTTTGTCTGTACTGGTCGGCTTGGCTTAGTTTACACGCCTTGCTATTATTTCAGCATACCCTTGCTGTATTAGGCATTGCTTAGTTGACACGCTTTGCCATTTGTTTGTCTGTACTGGTCAGCTTGGCTTAGTTTACACGCCTTGATATTATTTCAGCATACCATTGCTGTATTAGGCATTGCTTAGTTGACGCGATTTGCCTTCATTCATAAATTTTAATAGTGTGCATTGCTTAGTTTAAATGCTTTGCAATTTGTTTTCAAGTCTCAAATTATGTACTGTCTTGTCAGCTTGGCTTAGTTTATTTTATCCATTCTGCACGGCTGATGCTTTAATTTGTTATGAAATTGGATTTTAATTGTACATAGATACATTGTTACATCATGCCAGAAGTTCTTTTTCAAATTAATCATGTATGGGAACCCTACTAGCCCGCGCAAGAAAACTGTCCAATATCTAGTCAGGAACGACAGCCTTTATAAAAGGCCGCGGGAGATTTCCACATCATGTCTTAAATACATAAGTTTTTAATTAATCTAGGTTACAGTTTTACACTTTAATTTTTGTAATTTAAGATCTGTCGGTATAAGGCAGCAGATCTTTATATATAGAAAAAGCAGTGAATTTCAGCAAACTGAGTGCCATTACAATCTTTTAAATTACTGACAGTTAAAGGCTGCAGTACGTTATACATACTGTAGGTTACAGTTTTCCACTTTTATTTTGGTAATTTATGATCTGTCGGTATAAGGCAGCAGTTCTTTAGATATTATAAAAAAGACAGTGAATTACTGCAAACTGAGTGTCATTACAATCTTTCAAATAACTGACAGTTCAAGGCTGCAGTTTTCTCCTTGCTGACGGTGCAAGGCTGAAGTTTATTTCTTTCGTGCCATAATAATGTGTATGACGGTATTCCTATTCATGTATATCTTGTGGCAGATATGCACAATTTGGCTTCATAAAGGTTTTATAAATCTGACAGTACAAGGCTGCAGGTTTCTTAATTAATCATACATATAATTTCAGATTGTGTTCATGCTACTGCATGATATTAATATCACTAGTTGAATGGATTTATGTAAATGTTATAAGTACATTTGTACTGAAGGTTTTTATGTATTATTGTAGAAATGTTTACATTCACATCTTGTTCAAAGGTCTTGTTACTTTATAATTTTTTGGAAGAGTCTAGTCTTGTATAGAAACTTTTTCTATTTATCCTTACTTAATACATTAATTTATATTTTTCATGCAACAATCATATAATGAACAAATTAACATTAGACACGTCAGACTCACATGTATTTAGGTCAAATGCATAAATAAGGTTTAATTAGATATTTTACAATTTTGATTTCAATTCTACATTAGGTCTTAACTGATAATTGGAAAAATGTATAGCGAACAAATTGACATTTACATCTATTTTGGTTTAATGCATTTTAAAGGTTTAACGAATAAATGATTCGAAAGAATTGGCATATCCGCTAGGACTTACGCAAATTCAAGATACTAACTGAAATTCAATGTCACATACCTTACATAGGAGATGTGTATGTTTAAATGTCTAAGGTGCCACGCACTGTTGACATACTCCAGTCTATGCATTTAAAATTTTAATTTACAATCTACTAGCCCAAATTCAGTTTTGAATTCATACTACTATATATTTAACTAAATTTTTGTATATTTTTCACTTCATGAACTAGTTTCACAGGCTAGGGGCCTGTGCTAAGTTTGATGACTGCAACTTGGAAGCCATGGCCATGCAATTTTGGCTGTTCACCATTGAAGGATATCTGGTTGCTGATACAATAATAATCCATTCCTAATTTCTAATTTAAAAAAGAATTTTTTCTAGTTTCATTGTCATTGATGACTAGTATATCTTGTAACAATTTTCCATTACACATAGTTTGAAACTATAAATTTGATTCATACCTCTATTTGTTACAATCAGTTTAGACGTTGAAACAGTCCTGATAATGCATACTGTCGGATGTCTCAATAATACATATATAATGTAATTGTTATAAGTATTTTCACAGCTAATTATTTGGTCTATTAACTCAGTTGCTGGTTTACAATAGCATATCCTGTAATGTGCCTGACAGTTTAAGGCTGCAGTCCACATATATTTAAAGAACAAGTCAGGATCCATTTAAATGTTAGACATTAATTCTACACATATTATAATATTGTCATTAGATATATGATTTGTCGTAACATTTTTGTCCTAACATGACTTGATTAAATTAATGGTAACTTCGGCAAATTTAGCCCCTCTGTTTCAATCCTTATTACAGGTCAAGCTCATCCCTAGTCAAGTCTCCCTGGGTGGCGGAAGGTTCCCTTTGTGGCGGTTTTTACCTCCCAGTTTGGTTATTTCGATACAAATATGTACATGCCATGTTTGTTATTATGTAACATTTGTCATGTTTGTTATTATGTAACATTTGTCATTTATGGCATTTAATAAATGCCCTATTTCATTCAACCTAAGTGTTGTGTTTTATCTCATACCAAACAAGTTCGTCTTGCCAGTTATATTTGATTGACCTGGACAATACATAAAATAGATTTTATGCCCACATAAAAATAATTTATGTCATTGTTCTGTCCCTATACTCATTACTGTACAGAATATTACGGGTCAGGTTTTTAGCCGTTACGGGTCAGGTTTTAGCCAAGTACGGCTTAGCCAATCGATATCAAGACTTAAATCATGTGATGTTAATTAACCAATGATTACATTAGATCTATCACAAAGAAATAATTTTGGCGAGGAATGATTCTCGCCTTTCTGTTTACTAAAATCCACCTCCTCCAACTCCATCCTCCTCTTTCAATTTTTGATGTTGATATAAATACCATTTCATTTATTCTTAATGAATCAGTTGTTTCACTTATTGTTTATCTCAATTATTTGTGCAACTATTCATGAGATACACTATATATATATATATATAATATTATGTATATTGTTCATGCAAAGATTTATAAAACTAGTCGATGTTATATTATCTCTTTCAAATATTTTTCTATTTGTTGTCATAAATACTTATGATCTAGTCATATGTTATACACTTTTTAATGTATAGAATGTTTAAACTATTTTCCAAGGATGGAGCCCTACATCAAGTGGTACTAGACACAAGATAAAAGGGCACAGGTTTCCAAACTATGGTTTTTCCTGGGCGAGTCGACCACGATTTGGAAAATATTTATTTTTTCTGGTCAATTGTTTTTGATCAGCAATCCATTTTATTATATTCATGTAGATGGTTTTTGGTTCAACTTTGTCATCTTACATAACCTCCCAGTTTGGTTATTTCGATACAAATATGTACATGCCATGTTTGTTATTATGTAACATTTGTCATGTTTGTTATTATGTAACATTTGTCATTTATGGCATTTAATAAATGCCCTATTTCATTCAACCTAAGTGTTGTGTTTTATCTCATACCAAACAAGTTCGTCTTGCCAGTTATATTTGCTTGACCTGGACAATACATAAAACATGATTACAGAGGCACATATTAAATGCATTAGCAGATACAATAAGGTTATAAGCATATGCACATGTTTAATCCCTTACTTTTTTCACCATACATGATCGAATGTTTGTTAAATTCAAGTTAAATTCCGATCCTAAATTAATATGTACTTTATTTACTCATCCATTTTGTATATCGGATAAACACGCATTGTACCTCCTAACGTGTAATGAAAATATCAAAATTTGTATTACAGCTTGCAAGATTACTTGGGGTTCCTCTTGTAAATGATGATACAGGTATTCAGATCTCGTGCATGCTTGTCGAAGCACGTGCTAGTATCTCAGTGAAGAACAATAAAGGACAAACGCCGATTGATATGTGTACAGACGTGGCAACTAAAGAGTTCTTAAAAAGGTTTGTCAGTATCATGTTAAATCTTAAAACATCTCTGGTATAGGAATTCAAATGACCCTTGAACTAGAACGAAACTATGCAGTTTTAAACCACAGCAAATAATAATATTTTTTTGTAAAGTCAGATTTGCTATTTTAGCAATCAATACACATATGTCTTCCTGTTATTTAATACAATACTGCAGTGAAAGCTGTAATGAAAATAGATATGATTCGGATAGAGTGTTTTAATAAAACCGAATTCAATCATAATAGTATATCATTTATACGCTTATGCTATGTTAGTTTGACAGAATCGGTCATTGTAATTGGGCCCAACTTGTAAGACAGAACTTATATGTTAGTGGCTGCTTATACATGTATGTGGGAAAACCAGTATGTAGATGATGCCCTGTACCAGTTTTACTTTACCTAGCCAATAGTAGCAAAGTACATGTAGTATGATGATTATAATGTAGTTTTGTATTTGTTCACTGCTCTGCACTCTACATATCATTATGCCATGTATTCTGTTTTGTGTATGGGCAGGGGGCCATAAATAACACAACAAAGAATTGAAAATGTTTCGAAGCTTAAATAAGCAAATCTTCAAACTGTTTCACTCATTTTAGATTAGCGAATACAATTTCAACCAAGAAACTGGAAACGTCACAAAAGGGTGTTCTTTTACCTACCCATTGGGAACAAATGGACAGGTCTATACTAATGAAGAAAATACCATTGGATACAACAAATGGACTGCTCCAGAAAGAATTCCAGGGTGTAAAAAATAAGTTTTGTAAAACGCTACCACAGGCAAGAATAGTTACAATTGAGCGTATACAAAACAAGTTTCTGTGGGAACACTACTTCTTGTAAGTTAAATCCTTGCCATCGTTAACCAGCATAACAGCTATAAAAAATAAAAAAGTTAATCATAAAGCAATATACTTGTAGATGGTAAATAAAATACTAGCAAATTCTTTGATTTTAAATCACAACCCTTCCCTACTAAAAAGTTTCATTTTATTGAAAATACTGATAAAAAGAAAGGTTTCCTTTTTTAGAAAGAAAGTAACTTTTCCATTTGTATTTCTTCAGTATAATTGTTTTCTCTCTTAAAATATCTCATTCATTTTCTTCTAGCAAGAGGACTCAAATGGAAACATTGTATGGCAAAGGTTGTGCCAATGAGCTCGATTTATATCATGGAACGGAACCTGACAAGGTTGACCTGATTTGTGAGAGCAACTTGGATCATCGCCTTGCTGGTGAAAAGGTTGGAACATTGTTTGGACAGGGATCGTATTTCGCATCAGATGCAAAGTATTCGGATGGGTACGCTTCGGCGGATGCTAGTGGACATAAATTTATGTTCCAGTGTCGCGTGTTAGCAGGGAAATGGACACATGGAGACCCGAAGTATAAGAGACCGCCACCAATCAATGACAAAGATCCATCTAAATTGTATGATTGCTGTGTTGACAGCACAGATCGACCAAGAATATTTTGTCTCTTTGATATGAATCAGTACTACCCAGAATATATAATCAAGTATCAGTAACTTTATAAACATTAGTAAGTTACTGGAAGTGAATAAAGAAATAACAGTAACTTTTATTTATAAACATTGTAATTTTTCCGAAAATGATCAATGAAATATCGATAGCTTTACTTTTTACATACAGGAAATATCGTCAACTATAAATAACCATACTTTATAAACATTGAAATGATACCAAAGCGATTAGTCAAATATCGAAGAAATTTACATTACATACCGGAAATGATGAAAATATCATCAAATTTCAATAACTTTGTAAATATCGGAAGTGATGAATATATCATCAAATGTTACTAACTTTGTTAATACCAAAGTGATCAATATCAAAATGTCTGTGTTATATATCGGAAGTGGTGACTTTATAATTAAATAGCATTAATTTTATATTTAGAGATTGTGATGATAGATATGTATGTATTATCATGAAATAATAATTTAAATGATATATGTAAAAAAAAATGCAATCGTGACCAAAATTGTTTGATTTTGAAGGGTTATTTATATGTTCTCATTTTTGTATTACTTTATGCCATCTTTTTTATTGTTTGTTGATGTAATTCCTATTTTATTTTTCATTCTTGTTGAAGAATATGACTTATTTAAATGCGAGCGTCACAAACTTCATGTATATGTCTGATTTGTTTTTGTGACTAGTTTAGAATAAAGTTTGCACTTATTGTTGCACTTATTCATTATCCCACATGTACACTCAATCAAACCGAGTCTGCAATTCTTATGTTATTTTGTTATGATTAAAGATCCTGTATGTTTTGTGATTGATATTTTTACTGTATGAATACCACAATAGCAAAAAGTTATATATGTACATATTTATGCAAATGAAACAATTTTCAAACATCGAAGAATATGTAAAATGTGTACTGCAAATATTTGAGAACATTATATTTAATCAATAAATTACAGGCATTTATTTCTTATTGGAAAATTTGACTTAGAATTTATAGAAAATAAATTTCTAATTACCTCCCTTTATTTACATGAAATGTTAAATTCGGTAATATCTTTATAAATAATGCTTATTAGAACTTACAATATTGACAAATATTAATTTGAGCATCATATTTATGAAATAAAACCATGAAAAAAATGTGTTACAGGATCTTTAATGCTTCCGAGGGATCACTTTGTTTCCAGAATTTTGTACTTCACAACAGCAGGTGTCAAGTGCCGTGTGGCAGCCGTAAAAAGTTGCCCCGTACTTCACTTCAGTGTTGTTATATTTTCTGGTCCTTCGGGATCATTGATGCCAACACTATAAAGTGTTGAGAATTGAGTACCGCTCAAGCCGTGCTAGGGGGCGTGATGGATGTAGCACTTATTCATTATCCCACATGTACAGACTCAATCAAACCGAGTCTGCAATTCTTATGTTATTTTGTTATGATTAATGCTTCCGAGGGATCACTTTGTTTCCAGAATTTTGTACTTCACAACAGCAGGTGTCAAGTGCCGTGTGGCAGCCGTAAAAAGTTGCCCTGTACTTCACTTCAGTGTTGTTATATTTTCGGGATCATTGATGCCAACACTATAAAGTGTTGAGAATTGAGTACCGCTCAAGCCGGTGCTAGAAGGGGTGTGAGGGATGTTGCACTTATTCATTATCCCACATGTACAGACTCAATCAAACCGAGTCTGCAATTCTTATGTTATTTTGTTGTGATTAATGCTTCCGAGGGATCACTTTGTTTCCAGAATTTTATAATAATATTATAGCTTCAGTTCTCCTCTTTGACAAAGCGTCTTATTTCTGCATGAAGCACTGTTGGGTAAAACAAAATAGACAGGACTTGTCAGTAACACTGTTTGTGTGCTCTCTTGTAACTCAGAAGAAATGGCTATTATAAAGGAGTACACATGCCAGATATAATCATGTTGTCATTCCATTTCTAGGTCAATATCGCTAGAGATCCTCAGTGTGTTAAACATTTTGTGAGCTTAGTCACTATCGCTAGAGTCCAATATTTTGTGAGCTAGGTCAATATCCGCGGTAGGGAATCACGTGACTTTCATAGTAACGCGTAAAGATAATATGGCGGGCTGAACACCTCTATTCGACCGTGTTTTTCAGGTAATTCTTTATTATATTCCTTTAAAATTGACTTACATACGAGACCTGTTGCAGCCTACGCGGAATACAGAATTGTTGTCGCCTAAACCATATTTTCCACCCATGCGCTAGTTCTTTTTACAAACACTCAAATATTCAACTGGAATGTTCAAATGTGGACAATTATTTTGCGTGTAAAATTCACGCAAAATTTGTATTTTTTGAGTAATTGATGAAACAACGTCGAGTTAACAAGAAAAAAAAGCTTAATAAAATGTTACCCGCAAAATAATTGCCAACATGGAAAATTCCTGTTGAATATTTGAGTGTTTGTAAAATCAATTAGCGCATGGGTGGAAAATAAGGTATAGGCGGCAACAATTCTTTATTCCGCGTAGGCTGCAAGTTAAAGGAATATAATAAAGAAATACCTGAAAGGCACGTTCGAAGCGAGGTGTTTAGGCCGCCATATTGTCTGTACGCGTTTCCATAAAAGTCACGTGATTCCCTACCGTGTTATTGTAAATAATTTTTATTTTAAATAAAGAGAAGTATAAAAAACAGTACTGATGCATGATATTCATTTAATTCAAAAGACAATAACCCGCTTGTATTTTGTACAGCGATATTATAGTTTATAAAGTAGTATACGTCAGTCAAGTTCGATCTATTTTATACCTTCCGGGTTTCGAAAACCGTCGTAGTTTCTTTTTGACTAACTTGACTTCCTTTCAAAGAATTTGTGATAAATAGTTCATGCATGCACAATCATGTTGCTTCTCTGACATTATATTTGTGCTTACAGAGTTAACTTCAATAACTCTTAAATTGGAATTGGATAGATGTATGTAAGTTACATTATCTTTCTAAACATTTTATTTCGCAAAGTTGACTTCAAACCCGAAAATGTATAACGTAATGTTATGTGAACGGAAATCGAAAAAAGTAGAAAATTCACAGGCATTCGGCTCATTTGTAGTAAAATTAAATTAAAAAATTCTCAGTTAATCATCAAGAAAAAACAAACCCGACAACAATAACAAATTACCCTTAGAAAAGAAGAAAAAACACCACCAAAAACACAAAACGACAAAAATAAATAAAAAAGCACTAAAAACAGCCAGCTACACCCATTTTTGTAAAACAATCAAAATCAAATAACAATCTGGCTATATAATGCTCCGATGATCATACAGAAAAAATACAGTCCAATTTTCCATAAAGCAATCTCCCGTTATCTATCAAGAAAAAAACAACTATCCGTCTGTGGTAGACGGGGATTTGTGTGATGTGGTTCGAGTGCCCGTCTAGGCAATGCCCCGTAATCGTATAGTGGACTTTTTCTTGAATTAAATGTTTTGAAAAATAAATCGAACAACTGAAGCGAGTTTATATACACATGTAAATGTATTTGTCAATTTAATAACTTTCTACCTTTCCATGTTATACAGTGAAGTTCTTAAATTTATTTGAAGGTCGAATGTGCGAGGTTTCGATAGAATCGTAGTAATTATTCTCCAAACATTCCAAAATGTGCCTTATATAGGCATTACCGTGTGCACGGGTCAGCGCACGACGATACTAATATTCTCAGCCAATAGTCAGGTAACTAGGGTTATGCGATTTAATTACGGAAGTTTCCGTACAAGATCGGTAGCCAACGGCATAATGCAGAGGACTTTCGGCGGGAAAAACGTTTGCTACTACACAACTTATTTTACTTCGAATCTAGAAATTGTGCTCTTTTGTGCATGTATGTGCAATAATTAGCCCATACAAGATAATTCACATATCTCTCAGACTTTAACTTTGACATTTTACTTCCTGTTACTACTTATCAACAAATCAAAGAAGCTGAATGCCGTGATTAACTTAAAATGATTTCGATACTAATGTATCTTTTACAAATACAATGCAAAATTAAAACAATCTATATTTCACTGAAAATAACACAATGTTAAACCAGTAAATAGTAAGAGGATTTTTTTCGTTTAAGTGAAATATGGAATATATTTTCACGAAACATGATAAAATGCCACATATTTTCACGAGCCGGGACGGCATTTTATCATGTTGAGTGAAAATATATACCATATTTCACGAAAAACGAAAAAAATAACCTTTTTATTTAATTTCATTATCAAAGAAAAATGGTTACGAACCCCAATGCTTGTTACGCAACTGCAACTGTACAGCGCGCAGTAATATATTATTGCGTCTTATTTTGCACGCGATATTTGGCGCTACATTGTGACGTCACATAAACAACTCTTTAAACGTCTGTACAGCGTTAATAACTGAATTAGAGATATTGGTGTTCGGATTTATTTTCTTAGACCATTTTCTATCATTCTAGATAGTTTTCAAAACAAAATTCAACAAAAAGTTGTTTTGTACTTCTCCGATTTTTCAAACAAAATGGCGAAAGAAGTCCCTTAAAATAAATATGAGTTTCGACTCCGCCCACTTTCATATTTATATTTCATATTTATTTTTAAAAACTATGAAATATATTTGACTGATAAAGCACCATATTTCATGGTTAAAATTAAATAATTCACTGTATTTAATTTGTTAGAAAAAAGTTTCGTTTTCCCTTTCTCTGTTTGGAATTTTAGTTCATTATTGATATATGTAGGCCTATTGTAGATCCGAGCAGGTATTCGAGTGATTCAAGGACCGGATTGGCAGAGTAAAAAACAAGATGGTGGACTAGGACATGCCGGTTAGTTATTTTAAAGATTTTTGTCATGGTTTGAGTTTATACGATAGTATTTGACGGTCATGCACATTTAATCTGACGGTCTCACATGTATACGTATATGAATAATATTCATTTACAGTCACCATGGGCAACTTAATTTAAGACTTTAACTTCAATGTTAAGAGGATACTACAAATTTCCCCATATGAAAAAAATAAAATACATCTGTCTTAAAGTTTCAAAAGGAAGATTTGTAATTGATCTGAGTAGAGGATTAAAGTCCTGAATTCTGGTATTATAGTCAGACAGTTTAGCCATATGACTAAATATTGAGCCAAAAAATAGATAAATACAGAATCCCTAAAGAAAGCGCAACACGTCAAAATTGAAAATGTTGCAGGCTCGGTTTGATTGAGCCTGTTCATGGACGGTACTGGAAAGTGCAAGTTACCGTCCACGCCCCCTAGCACCGGCTTAAGCAGAATTCAACATTTAAACATGAAATAGTAAAATTTTGAATTTTGAAACATCCGCAGATGTGTTCATACGGCGGTTATCATGGAACCTTCAATGTGACACTTCCGTGCAATTCCATGAAAAGCGGCGTATGGTCCCCAAGTAATAAAAAGCGTGTGCCCTAAACGAGAAAACAATGGGCGGAACTAAATAAAATGGAATTTTGAAAGGGGATCAGAGGTTATGAAGCCTGCGTATCACAGGTAAAACGTCAAAAAATTTAAAAGCAGGCAACATATCCTAAGGGTGATTCAACATTATTCAAGTAGGAATATTGGAACCACCCAACTAGAAAATGCCGAAAAGTTGAAAATAAAAATACCACAAGCACAACAATAATGTCGTGCTGAACGATCTTCAAGGATCAAAAATATAACATCATTGATTAA